AAACACTCACTAAGAGAAACACTATGTTGTAGCACAGACATTAGACGCATTGTATTTTAATCTGCTAAACTATGCACTACAATTTTACACAGAATTAGGACTGTGGATTTGTTGCCCATTTCTATTGAAGCTTATTTGTTGTATTACCACATCTTGTATTTGCAGTAATGACAGGAGTATGGATCAGGTGATGAGGAGCATTGAGTTCGTCTTCATAAGGGGAATGAGTCTGGGATGGATGAATGGGTAGTTTGGCAAAACACTGGAGAGTGAAAGCTACATTGCGTTTTCTATCCTTGAGCATTCACCTTAACCATGACAACGAGTGGTAAACCTGCTCCTGCAGCACTTCAGGGGGATATATAAGTGTTACCGTGACAACAAAGGCCCAATTTTCCTGCTGCTATAAAACTTCTATAGGGTCACATCTGATGGAAGGCGCCGTGTGAGGTGTTGCACTTTAGATATTTAGTTTATTAAGGCACCGGACTATTGTTTTAAGACAGACTAGTATTGTGGAGAACCCATCCTTTACTCTAGAAGTACATTATTACAGCTAGAAAATTTTTTAATTTTTTATTACATGACAATATATTCCAAATATGTGCATGAATAGCCAGAATTGTAATGTGTAACCATTGGTCTATATTTACTTATACAACAACAATATACTTTATGAATAACCTCTTTTGTTGTTAAATCAAAATTTTACCTTTTTCTTTTATGAATAACGAAAGAATGATTGCCGGAGCTGTTATTCCTGTTGTCAAAGGTCGTTTCCCTGTTTCAAATCATGTATTGTTACTAATATATGCAATTCCAACCACAGGAAAAGGATATACATAAGGTTTTATTGCCCTACGATCCCAGTCAATACAAAGGGATTGGAACATCTGACGCATAGTTAGCAGAATGAAAAACACCATTTGTGTTGAGGGAGCTGTTTATTGCCTGAGCTCGACTGGGACGTTTCTTTAATGATGAGGGGGCAAAGTCAACATTCAGCTGCTGCCAAGTTGGGAAAGAATGACATTTAACCATCCGTGGTATTGTATGCAGAAAAAGATGTGTATAATCTTCCCTTTTACCCTACTCTTGGGTGGTGTGTTTGTTGTATGGTAGCTATTTTTTGGATATATATATTCTGTGTAAATAGAACAACCTCATTTGTCATAATCTGGCCTTTTATTAGACGTGTCTCTTCTTGCAGTAAACATAAAAGCAGTTCCAATTAACATGCTTGCCAATTTCTACTATCCATCTTACCTGGAACTGTTAAACACCGAAAGCTGGCATCAAATATCTTGTCTCATTTGTATTCTTTTCTTTTTAATTCATCCCTTGATCCATGACTGGATTAACCTGTGTGGGACTCAAGGGAAATAGTTAGTGCTGTGCACCAACACCCTGACAATGGCAGTTTCATTATACAGTTACTTTGTATTATTTTGACTAAAATCCAACCCTAGATCTTTGTAATGTTACAAAGTAAAGTATCAAAAGTCAATACTGTGAGTGTAAGTATGGACACTTATACACTCGTATTGATAATTTCAAACAATATTAGCCCTCAATAACCCATGCTGTATTAATTAGCATGATGGCATGGTATAGAAACTGCAGCTCTCCCTTCATGCACGCTCCCAGACTTTCTAGTCCAGTGCCACAGGGACTAACCAGTCTCTGTGCAGAAATACAGAAACAAACACGCTCACAGTAATGGGTTAAATAAAAGAAAAACCAACTACTGCATGCTGTTGATGACAGAAAGGCCAGTTAGTGTCTCTGGGGACACAGCGCAGTCTGTTGCTGCTTTGATTACAGCCTTTGCTGGAGAGACTGAGGAGCTGAGGGAGGACAGACACATGGCACCGCCCAACCAGCGGCCTCAGTTAATAAGGGACTCAAATTTATCGTGAAGAACTTTTACATGAAAAAAAAAAGTGCAACTCTGAAGGTAGTGTTTGTTTTCTGTGGTGTTTGGGGAATGGTGGTAAGAGCTGGCTGCAGACTCACTGATCAACCAGAGACAAAGAACTGAGAGTTTTTCACTCCAGGTCTGTGCTTTATACTTTAGTGGGAAAGTTTTTTTTAAAAGGTTGTTTAAACTTCGTTCAGCATCAAATATACTGTAGCGGTCCAACCAAGTAAACATGTAATGATTTTGTAGTCATTTGAACCATAGCAAATGATGCAAATATGTGCACATTCACTCTGAGCTGGAAGTCAGGGTACATTTATAAAGACAGAGAAACCATCACGCCCAAATGTACCCGGTATTCATTTTGCACAGGGCAGAATGATTCATTAATATTCAAAACCCCCCACCTTCCATTTTTGCCTCCGAGACGCAAGCAAGTCCATGTTAGTGTTCCAGGTTAAATGTTATGTTGAAGAACATCTGAAATGGCAAAGTCCAAGTGCAGAGGATTTGAATTTGTATATGTTTTGGGCCAAAATGCATTTAGCTAAATGCACTTTGAAAATATGTTGATTTGATGCATGACTGAATATAACCCAGAAAAGCATTTGCACACATTTTCTTTTGTGTCTACCTCTTTCCTCCTCCGCATCCCACTGGAACAAACTGTTTGCGGCTTAAAGTCCTCTAAATCAACTTGACTGGCCTCCAAAATACATCTCTGGAAATAATATAACATACCTTTCATGCATTTTCAAATGTTTTAACGAAAAAAAACGAAAAACAATACAATTCAGATATATGTATATTTGCAGGTTCACAATATTTCCTCAGATATTGAGAGGCAGTGTCAAT